TTTAACACAAGCCATGGAAATTATTACCTTTTAAACATTAGGAAGGTGCTTTAACAAATCAATACGTTGTTTTGAGCATTTGTTAAAGCAACTTCCTAATGTTTAAAAGGTAATAATTTCCATGGCTTGTGTTAAAATCTAGACATAATTTCTTGTTTTTCAGATAAGGACTTTGTATTATGCAGAAACTAAAACTATGCATGTCTTCTATTGTTTTTGCATTTCTCACCACTGATAACATGAGTGATGATAAAAGTTTCTACTCAGAGTAGACAGTGAAAATGATTTTATGGGTATAGGTTAGGTCTTCCCTCCCTCTCCCTCTCCCTCTCCCTCTCTCTCTCTCCCTCTCTCTTTCTCCCTCTCCCCCCTTCCCTCCCTCTCGCTCTCCCTCTCTCTTTCTCTTTTTGTGTCCGCGTCTGTATGTGTGCATTTGGTCTGGTTTATTGCTCCCATTCGGGCTCACTGGATTTACTGTGCCTCTGCTATATGACATCTATTATGTCACTTCTTATATCCAATTATTTTAACAATGTCATTAATGAGAGTTATATAGTATATCTTGATGTTCTTCTATCACATGAGCAGCCCAACATAGTTATGGCAATAGAAAAATGAGATAACATGTACTGTGGCATCATGAACAAAACCCACACTTTTAATATTCCAGTGATGAATACGTGGCAGGGTTTGCATTGTAATGTCACAAAGTATTTTAATCACATGTCTATCCTGCAGACACCTATGTTCCCAGTATACTGCTCCATCCATCCCCTCTTTTTCCTGTGAAATCCTCCACTGTTCTTCCATATCTGTTCCGAAGTTTAAGCAATTTCGGCTTGCGGAGCCGAAGAGCAAAATCAGACCTCTTTGCCTAAGATATGCCTTTTATTAAAATGGAACATAATATAGAAAATGACAAATTGGAGTAGATAAAGATAATGGTTGTGTAGCCTGTGGAGTTTCCATTCTCACAACCTTTTTCTTTCTGATCAGCTAAACCTGATGCTGACATTTAATTAACCTTTAGTATAGAATGCTTTAAAATTTGTAATAGAAATATGTGCCTACTCTAGATTTATCCTTACAGGTATGAATATATACAGTAATTGTCATGAATCTGGAGGGAAAAATAATTTCTGAACTTTGAGCTGCTGACAGTGCTAGCTGAGAATATCTCCTCACCAGAGCTCAACCTGCCTGCAACTTTATATGCCTACATTTCTGCGTGTTCTTCTTAATTATTTAACATTCTTTGCTGCATCTGTGTTCCTTGTTTCCCAAATGCTTTCCATATGAATTGTGTGGTATTTTATATTCCCATGCGCCAGTCTAAAACTTATATGTCAGAATATAAAAAATATCAAGGTTCTCTGATGACCTTGAATTGTCTTAAAGGACAAAAATATTCAATATTCCGCTATGCACAACAGATTTTTTTAAAAAGAGAATTATAAAAGAAAAATAACATACCATCAAGGCCTTTCTTATCAGTTGGAGAATGTTGATTTGTCACTTATTTCCATTAATCATATTTTATAGATTGTGTGGTATTAATATTAATAGAGTGTGCAGCCCATCATCTGGAAGGAATGCACTAGTGTGCATTAGAGCATAACACCTTCCTTGAGTTGTGCTGCTGCAGGGCATCTGTTAAAATATTTCATGGCTCTTTAAAATTTAATAACAGCTTTTTTCAAAATTCATCTTGTTTCTTTTCAGGCTCAGAAGTCATGGATAGAGAGAGCATTTTACAAAAGGGAATGCGTCCATATAATACCCAGCACCAAAGACCCCCATAGGTAAGAGTGCTATATTTGGTTACTTAATTTGCATTGAATATGAAAGTAAGCATGCTATAATATATACTGAAAAAGTTAAACCTTTGATATATGCTACAGGAAAAACATCTTTATTTTATCAATAAACAACAACTACTTTAAATATTCACTATACTTAGAATGTGCAGTACACTGATATAGCACCCTGGATGGAGATATGGTAGCTACTTTATGAAAAATGTTTAAAGTGTTTAAAACAAAGAGAATAAATTTCTTCTTCCATTTAAACAGGAATGCATCATTTCTAAGATCACATGACCAGATCTTTGTGTCATAGGACTGTTCTTTTCCTCTGTGTTTCCATGTGTGGCCAATGGCATTCCACAGGGCTTTTCAACTTCTGGAGAAGCTTTAGAAGGCATGTCAGGGAGAAAATATTTATTTCTGTGGTGACTTCAGTTTTACTGATAGATGTAAAATATTGGACACAGCCCAGTACATTTAACTGAGAGATTGGCTCAAAGTCACCCAGCTGGCTTCCATCGCTAAAGCAGGACTTCCATTTTCTAGCCTGGTGTCTTAACCACTAGACCAGGGATGTCAAACTCAATTTCATTGAGGGCCGCATCAGGGTTATATTTGACCTCGGGAGCCCAGTGTGGGCATGGCCAGATCAATGTTAGTTGTGTTGATGGTGCCTGTGGTGGCTCAAGAGCTCTGCCAGCAAAAACAGGCTCCCGAGCACCATTTTCAGCTGTGACAGCCTCCTGCAACCTTCTGCCAGCAAAAATGGAGCTCGCATGGGCCGCCCGCAGCCCTCCTGAGCTTGGTTTTCACTGTCAAAGGCACCATGGGCTGGTCCTTCACTTTTTCTAGGGCAGCCCTGCGGGCTGAATCCGGCCTTGAGTTTGACACTCCTGCAATTGGCTCTTGTGGCTGTTTCTTTGCAGTACTTTATCTAAAAAGACAGTAATAGTTGCAAAATACAGTCTTTTAATATGGCTTCTGATTTCTGAGAGAACAATAAGTAAAATGTTTTAAACATATGGATGATTATTCTAAATGTATTCACTTGCATCAGAATTAGCTACAGCTGTGCCAGTCGATGTTATAATCTTATTTCCACTGTGAAAATAAAGTAAAGCTTAACAAAGTTTTTTGCTTGGTTTTTTTGTTTGTATAGACTATTATACTACTGAGACCTCTTTTCACAAGTGCTGAGTTTTGTACATCATTACAATTGGCCTAGTTGTCTATATCTCATTCTCCTGGCAAAATGATTACTTATTTCATGCAAGACTTCTAGTAACTTTAGTCTTCTGCTTTATTATAACAAAATATTAAGTAGTTTTTGCTTAATGCCATAGGTGTTGCTGTGGGCGCCTAATAGGTCAACATGTGGGACTTACTCCAAGTATCTCCATTATTCAGAATGAGAAAAATGAAAGCCGGCTCGCTCGAAATGACATCCAGTCAGAGAAGTGGTCAGTCGGCAAGCACACACAACTCAGCCCCACGGATGCCTTTGGAACCATTGAGTTTCAAGGAGGTGGCCACTCAAATAAAGCCATGGTAATTTTTAAAAATTCTAATGTCCAAATGAATTTATTACTCTATCTGTTATACAGGGGTTTATTTTCTAGCAAAGAATATATATCTCTAGGCTGTTGTATAAGAACTATTATAATTATTTCTTATACTTTATGGAAAAATCTATATATTACAGAAATCCATTGGTAACTTAGATAAACCCTTGCTCTCAAGGAGTTTATAATCGAAGACAACTGTATTCAAACTGCAGTATGTTCCCTGGAACCCAGGGGTTCCATGAGAATCATCCGGGGGTTATATATGACAGATTATTCTAAGGATTGTTATGGTTTCCTTTTTTAAAAATCTTAATTCCATTGTTTCATTTACAAGAGAAATGTCTATGAGGAAACATATCTATTAACGAGCTACACACTGGTTTTTCACATTGACCAATGTTCTTCTCAGTGTATCTCAAGTTTGAAAATCACTGGTCTAAGAAAACCAATGAGGAAAGTCATAAAACAGAATTGAAAGAAATAAACAATGGGTAGGAAATATGTGGGCAAGATAGAACACCCACATGTTTTGAGGTAAAAAATGTGACTTTTCTTCTTGGTATCGCCATAGACAGCTGTATAGACATATAGACATGTCTGAAATAGTGGGAAGCTACTGATACTCACTGCTGACTTTATGAACAAAGATGGATCAGTGGTCAGATATTAGTTTTCAAATGTAAAAATGGGAATTTAGTGACAGTGTAGAATAAGAGTGAATTGAGAATGGTTATAACTAGGAATGAAGATTTATCAGAATGTGTTTGGCATTTTCAGCAACATTTCTGGATTTCTGATCTTTACTTTCTGCACTTCAGATATTTTCTATAATTATAAAGTGAAGCCCAAATTCAATTGCTCCATTTTACTGTTAATGCATTTCTCTCCTTATTAAAATCTGAAGTATTTTACTTTATATATAACATTTTGAAATGAACTTGATCCATTAGAAATTAATGTGATCTTGTAGTCAGTGAAAAATAAATTTTATTGGCAACGTATTCTTATTATATTTTGTCAATTTTGCTAAAAGGAGAAGAGATATCTGCAGTAGAAAACCATGTAATAAAAACTGTATTTCTTAAAACTGTACTTATGTAATACAGTATAGAATGACAAACTCCATATTGCAGTGCAGTATACTGCATTTATTAAAAGAAGAAAGGATTTGCCCTTGTCTAATTTCCAATGAAAATATAAAGTACTATTTCAGAGCAATGCAAATTTAAAATAGGATAAGTGTGAGAAACTTTCAGGTTATCTGTGAAACTTTCACATTACCCTTTCCAAAAGTATTTTGCTGTGAAAAGTTGTAGTTTCATTTATTTTTACAGCTGTATTAGTTTGCTTATTCTACAACATATGTATATAAAGAGAGAGAAAAAAGAGAAAGGTTTTTGAATACAATTATTACAGTGTAGCAGTGTAGAATAAGTATGGTATAGTGGAACTGCCTTTGTAGACAACACAGAAACTTTAACTTGTCCAGCTGCAAGTTAAAGCAGCGAACTTGTCCAGTGGTGTTCAGCAGCGAACATAGTAATGGGGACCCTAGGTTTGCCCATATAACATCTCTGTTGCACAAACTGCACTGGATTCCAGTTTCTTTGCAGGTACAATTCAAGATGATGATCATCACGTTAAAACTCTTTATGGCACAAGCATAGGTTATCTGTAGAACCATCTTTCTCTAAAGACATAAGTCAGAGGAGTGGGCATGCTCCTAGCCCCCCTAAATACTGCCATCTGATGGGAGCTAGGAAGCATGCCTTTTCTGTGGCAGCCCTTGCCTATGGAACACTGTGCCGCCTGAAGTTTGGCAGGCATCCACTATAAAGTTTTGAAGACCTGCCTTTTCCTCCAAGTATTGGGAGAAAACTAGATAATCCCATAATAGAACTGATTTGGCACCACATGTTGTTGTTTTTAATGTTTTAATCAGTTGAGTTTTAAAGCCTTAATATAATTTAATGTATATTTTATATTTAATTGTATCTGTCTTATCTGTCATATATTTTTATGTCTTTATATATCATATATCTTTTATATGATTGGGAGTTGTTCAAAGTTGATTGACAGATGGACAGCTATATAAACGTTTTAAATAATCAAAGATGCATTGAACTTGCAATTCCATCTTAATAAGATTTAGCAAGCATGCAGCTATGGGCATCTGCAGCAAACTGAGATTATGTAAGAATGATGACATGTACAATGTCATTAGAGTGCCAAACCCAGACTTAGATATATGCATCTCAGCAATTACGTATATTGTAGGTTTGGTGCCTTAATATATGTTTTGTCATTTGCCTTCTATTGCATCTCTCCTGTGCCCCCAGAAGCACCCATGCTTTTGGTGACACACTGTGTTCATTGTTCCTAAGGCTTATGGGTACTACAAAACTTTGTGAGTTTCTGGTGTGGATATTGCCAGGCCAGTTTTTAAGCTACGCTACTGATTATATAATTGTAAATGGAGGGCAAATAGTGTTCTGGCATATATTCAATTGTAATTGTAGGAACAATGTAACCTAAATGCCAGTCCCCTGATGTCAAAATTCAACATTATTTTGTGTTAAATGAGGGATAATTATGGTGTTTAGATTAATACGAATTTATTGTTAAGTTTGCTGACCTTAGATTCCTTCCTTCCCCCTTCTCATACTTTTTCCTTCAGCTCCACCTCTAATATTAATTTAATATAACTTTACTGTAAAAATCTAAAAGGTTCCTAAATCAATGTTTGAATTTGGCTTGATTCAATAAATAGGAATTAAAAGATTAATATAAACTTGGCATATCATTAAATGGAACTTCTTAAAGAGATAATAACAATTGGGTTTAGAGGCATATGTAAATCATTTGAGGGAAGCAGCCTCTGAGTATTCACACATACCCGCATGCACATACACACACATACATATATCAGAAGATTATAGAGAGTCTTGAAACAGTCACACGAATATTTAGAGAGGATCCAGTAGTTTGTGTAGCCTATTGAAGACACAAATTCAGGATGCTATTTTGCCTGCACATGAAATCCTTTGTCAAATAAATTACACAGATTTACTGCCTTTGTACTTATATGAATAGACCCTTGGCTTACATAATCCATTTTTTCTATCTTTGGGATGATTACTGCCATGGAGATAGAAACAATTTCTCTGGATAAAGGTAGCAGGAATTTCTTTAAAGCAACTCATAATTTACTCTATGTATCTCTCAATCTTGGAAAATCAGTATTTTATTGTATTACTGCTGTTTGTCAATTATCGATTCAAAATGGTAATCAGTATGCTGAGTAGGTTTTAAGATTCTCATGAAGGAAGGCGAATATACGTGTGCCACAATAATGTTGCGGGATCCAATCTACGTCGGTCACCAGAGGTTTTGTCTTCTGAGCTTTCGGACTCATGCTGGAACCCATCTTCAGGGAACTTTTCTCTAGCAGATTGTGCGCTGTTCTGTGTGTGGTATTTTTAGTGCCTGGTATATGTGGGTTTTAGATGTTGATTGGGGTATGTTGATGACTGGCTTTTAAGTTATTAGCTGTCATTTGCTTGTATTGCCCAGCCCTCGCCTTCTAAGTACTTGATAGGCTGGTGGTAAATTGACTGACGAGGGGCCTGTTTCCCAGGCTTCAATCAGTTCCCTGGCTGTTTTTGTGCCTGCTTAGCCAACAATCGTAGTACCTGCAAAATTATATCCTTGTCCATTGCAGTGTGAGACTGCCAAAGAGTTTGGATCTCCTCGTCTGACCACTTTCTTGTGTTCTTGTGATCTGGTGGTTAGCTTCCTCCCCATCTATCCTACATAATCACAGGGGCAATCTCCCACCTCCAAGCAATTTTAAAATTCTCTTGATCTTATGCTATGTAATGTAATTTTAACTCAAGCAATATTTAATAGAATATTGCTTGAATAAAAAAAAACCTGTCTCATTTAATTGCAATGCATTTCTTCCCATTACTGGCAAACTATTTTTGCTGATAGGCTTTTCATACTAAGACAATGTTTACATGTCACATTTAACAATGAAATAGATAAACTGAAGATGCTGCATTAGTGCCCACGTTCCATTGCTAGCTCCTCCAATGAGTGACTTTCAGTTTGCTGCAGTGGTTAAGGTGCTTGTTCAAAAAACAGGAGATTGAGTTTAGTTACACCTTAGTCATGAAACCCAGTTGGGTGACCTTGGGTTAGTCACTCTCTCTCAGCCCAACCAATCACATAGTATTGTGTTGTGAGGAAAATAGGAGAAGGAAGGAATATTATTACGTTGCTCACCTTGAGTTATTTAGATCAATAATAAAGATGGGATAATAAATAAATAGATATATTCTGTGCCAGCATTTGCAAACCACCAGTATTACTACAAATTAAAATAGTTAATTTAGAGTTAAATTAATTAATCAGTAGTAAGGACATAGGATGGGAAACTATTTTATCATAATCTGATCCAAAGGCCCAGAACCCCAAGTACTCTTTACAACCATTTTTGATTAAAAATGATGATGAACCTTGAAATGCATGATGAACTTTGTATCATCATGATAATAATCATCATGATCATGAAATGCATGATCAATCATGTATGATGAAGTGCATGATGAACCTTGAAATGAAATGAAATCTTCTGGTTCAGTGTTAGCTATCTTATATACAGATGTTTAGTAACTCTATAACCATAGAGAACATAACAATTTTATGGAATTGTCTTACTTTATTACAAAAACCCCATTGATAGAATTTCCATTTAGCTAAATGTTGCCATTATTAGATTTTGTTCCCATCCCGGTGTGTGTGTGTGTGTGTCTTTTTAATATTTGGTCAATTCAAGATGATGAACATACTTAATATTCTTGCCTCTTATTTTTCATGTTACCAGAGATGGAATCAATATGTTTATTACAAACTTAACTCTTTTTTTTTACATTTTCCATCAATGCCCCTTGCTCTCTAGTATGTGCGGGTGTCTTTTGACACAAAACCTGATCTTCTTCTACACTTGATGACCAAGGAATGGCAGCTTGAACTACCGAAACTCCTCATCTCAGTACATGGAGGTCTCCAGAATTTTGAACTGCAACCAAAACTCAAACAAGTATTTGGGAAAGGCCTCATTAAAGCTGCTATGACAACTGGAGCATGGATATTTACAGGCGGAGTAAATACAGGTAATAAAAACTGTCAAGGGAAAAATCACTGGAGCAAATATCTTAGAAGGCTTGTCAAAGAAATATATCACTGCACATTCCTTTCCTTCCTTTTTTCATAAACATCACATTAAATACACATTTTCATTTAGCAGGCACATCTTTTATAAAAATGTAGATAACCAAAATACGATTCTAAGGAAGAACTTTTTAAAAAATCTCTTAATGACATGGTCACAACCCTCACACCACCCCTGCTGTTGTTCTCATTGGAAGGAAAGGTCCATTAACAATATTTGTCAAGATACTGTCCAGGTGGAGAGGAAGGTTAAATGCCTGCTGCTTCCTTGCCTGCCAATTGTATCAGCTATTTTCAGTTAAAACAGCAGCAAAGACAATAACCGTGGACAAAGAGCAAAAAGCCATGGCACTGAGATGATAGTTTAATGCAACTCCAGAGGGTTGAAATAATTTATTAAAAGTGTATTCCTAAATTGAAATTAACATCAGAGTATTAAACAGACTGCAAAGATATAGAACTGGCAGTCAGGCAGGTAAACATTGGACCATGCTACCTCCACCTCTTTATATTATTATTTTTGACAATTTAATACAACAATAATGGATTGGATAAGTAGAATTCGGGGATCAGAGAAATTAATGTCTCTGTTTTCTGTGTGGAAATTATGAACTTGAGATCTTCGTACAATAGAATGTACAATAGAAATTGAGGGATCTTCATAAGGTATTGATGATCATTGCTCATTTCTTCTCTCTGATACATACGTGAACACTTTATATTCCAACCCAATGTAGAAACCTCCAGTATCCTCTCAGCTTACCTCCAACATCCACTCAGTCAAAAATAGTACAATCTAAATTAGCTTGTTTAATGAAAACCATTCTACTGTATAAACCAAAAAGACAAAAAACCTAATTCTTGCTTTTGCCAAGTCTCTGATCCAAATGATGCTGAACTACAGTTTTCAGCATTCTTCGACATTGCCGTACTGGCTGGGGTGGCTGAGAGTTGCAGTCCAAAAACATCAGGATCACCACAACTTCTGTATCCCTATTCAAGACTAGAAAAAAAGTGGCAAGAATGCATGTAATTAATTAGCTATGACCATGATGGCAAACCTATGGCACGTGTGCCACAAGTGGTGCACACTGGCCAATTAACTTCGGCCTTCTTTTGAGGCCATTTTTCAGCCTCCAGAGGCTTCCTTGAAGTGACTTCCGGTTTGCCATAGGTCCATTCTTCACCCTCCGGAGCCTTCAGAAGTCTCCGGAGGGTGAAAAACGGAGCTACGGATAAACCTGAAGTCACAATCCCCAAACTTCTGTTTTTCACCTCCGGAGCCTTCAGGAGGCTTCTTGAAGGCTCCGGAGGGCAAAAACCGGCCCTACGAGCAAACTGGAAGTGACATCTGATTTGTCTGTAGGTCTGTTTTTCGCCCTCTGAAGCCTTCAGGGAAGCCTCCTGAAGACTCAGGAGGTCAAAAATCAGCCCTACGGACAAACCGGAAGTCACCATTCCCGAACTTCCAGGTTCCCTGTAGGTCTGTTTTTTGTCCTCCGGAGGCTTCAGGGAAGCTCCTGAGGCCTCTGGAGGGCGTCCAGGGAGGGCGGGGGAGGCTGTTTTCACCCTCCCCGGGCTCCTAGAAAGCCTCTGGAGCCTGGGGAGGGCGAAAAAACACCAAAAGGCGGGTTCTGGCCGTGCGCATAGCATTATGGGTGTGGCCCGCCCGCACACGACTCCCCTGCATTCCTCCCCTCCACTTTTGGCACAGGAGCCAAAAAAGATTCGTCATCACTGAGCTATGATCATGAATTCTTTTATCACTTATCTTCAAGGTTAAGTACAAGCTCTGGTTAAATCAAAATGTGACTTAAGGCAATGTTATAGGCAAACTTCTACTTTTTCTATTTATGCCCAAAGCTTTCCATGAAATCCTGAACTATACAATGGCTGGCTTTCTCACTTTTATTTTAAATCTTAACCCAATTCCCCGATCTCTTGTTGACTCATAATGTTTTCATTTTTGTATCACAAAATTTAGCGTACAGACATTTTTATAGCAAATATTAATGTCATCCTGTCATATGTTGGCATTTCTTTTTCAGGAGTTATTCGGCATGTTGGTGATGCACTGAAAGACCATGCTTCAAAATCTAGAGGAAAGATCTGCACTATTGGAATAGCTCCCTGGGGAATTGTAGAAAATCAGGAGGACTTGATTGGCAAGGATGTGAGTCTCTTGTTCATCTATAAAATATGCTTTTGTTAATATATTTTAGATATTGAAATTTTCACAACTTCCTGACCCAGGAATCTACCATAACACCAAGATTAAAACAGAATGTTTTGTATGAGCATATATAGCTCTTTTAGATGTTTTGATAATTTAAACCATCATTTAATCATTTAGAGGAGGCATTCTTGTTTAAGGGTGAACAATTTAGTTCCACCCATTTTTTTTAGTAATTAAGGACAATTCATATTATTTGGACATCTGTTTTACATATACAGCATTGCAAATGTTGGCTCATCCTCCTTATCCACAAATGTAAAATTGTTTTTGCAGACTGCCTGAGTTTGCCATCCATTTTGCAGTTGGCAAAACTCCCCAAATTGGGTGAAAATAAGGCTTTTACCTATGCTTTACATTTTTAGGAATTTGTAGAGCCTTAAGGTATCTATTTCATTCCTTAAAATGTCCCCTAAAACAGGTCTTGGTTTCATCCAGTTTTAGCTTAAGGCACATATTTGACCTGTGAACCAAGCCAATAAGACTTTGTTATTCTTTTTGCTCTTTGTGCCACTCACATATCTGTTAATAACACTGGTAGTTTCACTGTTCTTCCTGTCAAAACATTAGAGAGTTTTGGGGCACATCTATTTACTTGTCTCTCATATTATTATAATTAGTGCCTATGGCAGCATTTTCTGGAGAAAAAAATGACTTTGTTTTTGTCATGGTCTCTCTTAGCTTATAGTTTTTGCCTTTGTGATGAAAATCTCTATTTTTTATTCCTTTCAACTGTCATAATATTTGTAATTAATGCTTTATTGCATTAAAATAACAACAACAACAACAACAACAACAACAATAATGCCAGTTTAAACATATGGGCTACTGTGCAATGAACTATAATAATGATTCATTATTATGACAGTCAAACATATAGAAATAAAAACACTTCGTTCTTAAACATTGAATTAAACCTTAAGCACAAGGACTAGGATTGGGCAATCTATATGCATATATAAGAGTGTGTGTGTGTGTGTGTGTGTGTGTGTACGCTCGTGTGTGTGTGAGTGTGTTCCAGCATAACTCTGGAATGCCTCGAGCAATTTCAACCAAACTTGGTACACAGATGACTTATTCTCTGGAGACAAATACTGTGGAAGTAAGACACCCCTAACACCACCTTGTGTGTGTGTGGGGGGGGGGGGGTTGTTCTTATAAGATGCAGCCTGTTGTGCCTTTAAATGGCTTCTATTGTACTGCCATAAAATAGCTTTTACTGTACAGCGCAGTAGAGGATGTCATGGTAACAGCTTCACAGTACTCCACAATGGTAACAGCTTCACAGTACTCCACAAGGGGGCTCCCTCTAGTAAGGGGGAAAATCCAACATTAGAAATTACGTTTGGTCTGGACATTTTCCTCCTATAAATAAATAAATACCCGGGCAATGGCAGGTTATAGGCTAGTCTTTAATAAAAACAAGCTCAAAGGTAGGGATTGGAGAAATGTATTTTATTAATCTAGAGTTTTTACTCAAGTATGACAGACTCTTTTCACTAAAATGTATCTATAATCTGCATACTAAGCTCACAGTTCTTGATATATGGCAAGGTAGTCTTTTGTGGCAAAGCAAAATGCACGTGTATACTTGTGCATGTGCATAATATCTATTCCATTAAATTTGATATGGTTTTTAATTTATTTACATCAATTCATACATTGAAAACTAAACAGGATTCAGTACAAACCTATTGCCAAAAAGCACATGCATGCAAATATATCTTTGGGTTTTTAAAAAATCATCCCTGTATGTTTTTGACGTATCCGTGAAGCTTTGCAAATATTTCTGAAGAATAAATCACAATAGCCCCAGTGGAATCACCAATAGGGAAGATATTAGGAGATGTAAGTAGCGACACCTGGAGAATGACATTTGTGCATTCATGACCTACAATAAACTGTTTACGAAATTCAAATCAGCAATGCTATTTGTTTAATTTGTTATTCCAGTAACTGAAGGCACAATATATTTTTCCCTCGCCCCTTAATCTCAAAACAGCCATTGAGATAGCTTAAACTGAAATATGATGACTAGTTTAAAACAAACCAGCATGTATCCGAGCTTTTACTGGCCAAAATTCAGAACTTGAATATAGTGGTTATTTGCAAGATAAAAATTCTTTTTATTGTGTGTTTCATTTTGAGGTTGTTGATTTATGTTGTATGTGTGAGTTGTGTAGGGGTAAGAGAAGATCCCTATATTTGCTTCAGATATGTGAAATATTGCCTTTTAGTTCCTAGAAAGCCTCAAGAGCTTTTGTTGGTATTGAAAAAGAATTCTCAAATAAAAAAATAATTCTTCCCATTTTCAAAATACTGATCTAATCTCTCATCATAGGAGCATGTTGGATAAGTCTGAATATAGTAAGCAGAGAGGGAAATTTAAAAAACCCTAACAATCTGTGCCAAAGAAAACCATAATTGGTGGCAGAAGTAGACAAATGTCCAATGTTGTGCCTGGAAAAATAGGTGATGTAAAAACTATTCTTCCAGAAAACTTTGCATTAATTTTTTTAAAAAACCTCTTAGCGGATCATAGGATCATTTGAGGTTTTGTTTTTTGCTCCTTAAGGTTACTTTTTTCAGAAGAGAATAGTATTTGGTCCTACTTCCCTATTTCAGTACCGTTTCTTGGAATTCTCACTTCATTTCTGTATCAAAGTGATGCTTCAAACCCTCTGTAGTCATGAATTGAGGACAATCATTTTGTTATTATGATGGGCCTGTTTTTTAGACAAAAATGAAGATATACTTCAAGTGCAACATTTTGAGTTAAAGTTATTTCATAGTGGCATTATAGCTCTCTGCCAAACAGGTTTTCCTCTACCCTGTTTCTCCAAAGGTAAAAGCTCCCTGCATAATAAGCTCAGTTGGGCTTTTGAGTGCATGTGCTAAAATAAGCCCTCCCCCAAAATAACCTCCCCAAAAATATTGCAAAACAGCAGCAGCCATGAAGTGACCACATTCACCACCTCCTGCACCTCAAAAATAATAAAACCTCCCCGAAAATAAGGCCAAGTGCTTATGTTGGGGGTCAAAAGAAAATAAGACTGTGTCTTATTTTTGGGAAAACATGGTATAATGCCAAGCTTAGTTCTTATTTACTGAAAACTTAGATATCATGAACTTCCAGGCTTCAGGGAAACCACAACACTGAATGCATATATTTGGCAAATATATGGCCAAATTCCTTTTTTTTTTTTTTTTTGTAGAAATATTGGATGCAGGTCCTGAATAATGAGAAAAGGGAAAGGCTACATAGGATTTCAGATTTGAAGGTTAAAATTTGTTTCTTCATGTGTATGGGGGGGAGGAATACAGCATCTGCCTCCGACTCCTTAACCAAACACATCACATATCCATAGGAAAAGATGTAGCTGCTTCATGTTAACTTTAATGAGTCATTTCCCTGAAGCAGTGGCGCCTTTCTTTCAGGCTTACATAGAAACCTGGGAAAAAAAGGCTACTTTAATGAATAGCAGAAGAGTGTTGCACTCACAAGGTCCAGAGCACTTCCTTCAAATCATTTTTGAATGGCGCCCAGTCAAGACACAGGCACTTCTCTCTGTGATTAAAGATGAAATGTATTAATCTGAAGGAGAAAATGAAGTCGTTTCCTTTTGCTTTTCATATTCATACTAACACACCTGCTGCAGCATTCATAGATTCCTTGATAGTTGGAACTACTGCCTGCAAGTTAGACAGATAAAGGAAATCTGATGCTTTTCCTGGAGGTTATCCAGCTTCATTTCTCCTGGGTACCTAACAGCTGTGTTCTCCATTTCTCTTGTAATGGAGTTGATATCGTCTGTTTTTTATTTTTTTTAATGGGAGAAGGATAATAGCAAATCTATCTTTTCATCCTCTCTGCCAGAAATTGTTTTATTGCCTTTGATTTGCAGCTTTAGAATTCAGTAGCACTGCACTTTGAACTAATCATATTTCTCTCATCTCCCAGCTCACAAGTTGCACAGGCATGAATTACCAAGTGTTTTGCTAGAGCAGAAAATTATTCAGGAATCCTACATTTAAAATAATATTAGCCCGGTGCTAAATTGTGAGAGCCAGTTTGATGGAGAAGATAAGCGCTAGAAAGTGCAAAATTGTGAAGTGTAAGATTCCCTTAGGCATAAAAGGCAGCTGAGTGACTTTGGATGCTGTTCCCATCCAACTCACCTCTTAGGGTTATTGTTGTGGGGAAAAGGAGGTGGGAGCGTTGTATACACCATCTGAATCGGTGGTGGGTTCCTACTGGTTTGGACCAGTTTGGCCAAATCAGTAGTGGTTTGGTGGCCTGGATTGCTGGAACCGGCAGCGATTCAGGCCTGACAGGCCCCCAAACCAGTTCTCCCGGTCCGCCATAGGTGGCACTATCTTGTTTTTTGCTTCTGTGCATGCGCAGAAGCATTTTTATTGCACTGTGCATGTGTGCAAAGCACGCATCAAGTGCATGCACACACACACAATCGAACCAGCAGTAGTGACTGCCAGAATCCACCCCTGACCTGGACTTATATGAAATAAAGGCAAAATATAAATCTATAGTGAAACCCAAACCTGAATTCCATTCTTGGCACTTTATAATAAAAAATGAGTAACGTAAAAAACATTAGGTACTACATACATATGTTTATCATCATGTGAAAACGTTCTTTTCAAAGCAAAGCATTCAACAAAGACCTCTCCGAAATTCTAATAGAGATGATAAGAACATTTGAGTTAATTATGGTATGTTAGATGGATGCAGACAGAGATTGAACAACAGTGCCCAATAAGTGTATGTTTGTGGTTCTGGGGAGAGCTCTGGATTGGTATATTGCAAGATTCCATTTAGATCCTGTGCTGTTCAACATATTCTATAAATCAGAATATAGCAAGCAGTTTAGAGGTCATTATCCTAATCTGAGGGCAAGTTGACAAGCTGGAATAATGGGCAGAAACCTATTTTGAAAAATGAAACAGCTAATTAGAACATGTAAAGGTGGTAGGAACAACTTTACTGCTCAACAGTTCACCCATGAAGTGGGATCAAGGTTAAGAGAAGTCATTGTTACTATTTGGCACTGGTCAGATTGCATCTGGAATATGATGTCCATTTCTAGCATCGCATTTGTATAAATACATTGATAAAATTTTGAGAGAAAAGCAACCAAGTTGGGAAAGGGAAGGGAAAGCTTATGAGGAAACCTTGGAGGTATTGGGCATGTTTTATTTTAGAAGAGAAGTTTGCAAGGATACACAATAGATATGTGTTCAAGGACTGTCATGTGGAAGATGGGATAGAATTTCCTGGAGCTGTTTCTGAAACTCTTCAAGACGTAACGGTTTTACAAAGAAATTGATTTTGGCTGGATGTGACAGAAAAAACAATCTTAATGGTAATTACTATTCAACAATGAAACTAACTGCTGCAATTGGCTGCAAATTCTCCTTTGCCCCTTTAATAAGCTGCATGGTAGTCTGCAGGATATGCTATACAAATGGATTCCTGCACTACAGAGAGAGTTGAACTAGATGACCTCCAAGGTCTATCCCAATCTGTACATTCTGTGATACTATAATTTTAGATTAATTCATCCTATATAGAAGAAAACATCTTTTATCTATTTTTTGAACTTGGACATAGCAGCAGATTATATGAGTATCTGAGGACTCTGAAGACAGAAGCAAAATGAAATCTTTACTAAAGCCTTATATGTACCAGACAGGATTTGAATTGTTTAGTAATGTACTTATCAAGCCACAGGATGTAATATTCTGTCTTTGCCTTTGTTCCTTTTTTGTCAGCAAAGCCTACATTGTTATTAGTAGCAGAATAAGTGGTAGTAGTAATGAATTAATAACTGAAAATATTATTATTATTATTATTATTATTATACAATTGTATCACAGGGGCCAGTTGTTTCGCCGGATTTGGCATTGGTTACTAGTCGGGCCCCACCCAGGGGCCTAGGACGTCGTAACGTATTTTCGTAATATGCGTGCAGTTCCAAGCAGTGCGGCTATTATTATTATTATTATTATTATTATTAT